GTCCAAAGTAGGATAATTTGAGCCTGGTCATTTGTGCTTCAAGTGAGAACTCTGGATTGATTTGTTAGATGATCCATTTGCTTTCTTGGCTATCCATGGTATTCTCAGGAGTCTTCTCCGACTCCAAAGTTCAAAAGTGTCAATACTCTTCCTCTCCTGCTTCTTCAAAGTCCAATTTACGCCTCCATTAAGTGTCACAGAGAAAACCATTGCCTGCACTATTCTGATCTTTATGCAGTCAGTAGTCCCCTGTAAATGATTCTGTTGGCCCAGTTCACCCACTCTGTTATTTAGATCCAAGCATAAACCATTCCCAACCCCCTATCACCTCTGGTGCCTCACCTACAAGAAGCCTCTCAGCTTCAGGAAGCCCTTTGAAGATCCTGCGGAAGTCTTCATTGCGTTGCTTATAGGTGGGACTCAGCATCTGCCAATACATAACCAAATGCTTTAGGATGGTGATTTGTTCTTCCTATGTTCAGCTCAACCAGCCTTCTCCAGCCTGACACCCTCCATATAATTTCATCAATCAACACAGCTATATCTGCAGGGGGGCACCTGAACTAGACCCTTTCTGCACAAAACACCCAAATCAGAGAAGATCTATACCCACTTCCACCACTTTACAGGGAAGTGGGTTCTATGGGCAAGAAAGAAGAAATTTCTTAGCAGGGTCTGACAGCAGCGATTTTGACCAAGAAGGTGAGAGTTCCAATAGAATGAGAGTATGTTTATTATTACATTTAAAAAGAAATAAATCCTGCCCTTCCTTCAAGGAACCTAGAATAGCATATCAAGATTCCCCCATTTGTTTCACAACAATCCTGTGAGGCTGAGAAACTGGTCAAGATTGCCCATAGCACTTGGTAACTGAGTGAGATCTGAAAATAGGTCTCTTCTGCATTACACTGTACTTGTTGGGTTCACACAACACTCTGGAGTTGGTTACTGAAGGAGCCCCTTTTCTGGATTCTGCACAATACATTGAACCTGAAATGAGCCAAACAGGTTGAGTTCATACAACAGGTTGAGCCACAAATACAAATCAAAACAAAACCCCTACAAACCAGAGTTAAAGCTTAACACACTGTGCTAATGCTATGTCTTCAGCTGGCCTGGCTATGTGTGTGGTGTGAACTCAGCAGCTGATTCTCTGTTGCTAAGTGGGAACAGCAGCTGGTATCTCAGGGAGAGAAAAAGGGGTAATGAGCACAATGAAGGGTTTGGGTTGAAATGTGAACTGGGTAGCTGCCTTGCCTCAACCCCTTATTACTTGTCTTGCCTTTGGGAGACATACATAGCACTCTTTCCTATTTTTCCCCACAACAACCCACTGATGAAGATAGGGTTGACCCAAAGAGGGGCTTGGCCCAGAGACATCCAGGGAGCTTCCATGGCTGAGGATGGATTTGAACCTGGTTCTCCCCGCCCCTAGTCCAGTATCTTCACCACTACCCCACACTGGTTCTTGGGCTGAGAGAGGGAGGGAGTGGCCCAAAGCCACCCAGGGCTGAGAGGTGGACTAGGACCTGGATCTCCCTGCTCCTAGTCCAACACCTTCACCATTGCACCACACCATTTCTCATCCATTTCCATAAACTATGTTTCATATGTAACCTAATAAAGTCCCTTCCCTTCCCTTCCCTTCCCTTCCCTTCCCTTC